AAGTTCTAGGACAGCCCGGGCAGTGTAGCTCTCTTTGACTCTCTGGAAAAAAAAAAAAAATAGTACTCCTCTACTATATAAGATTATGAGGATTAAATTAGAGCAGACAGGCCTGGCAACTACTGAATTCCCAATAACATTACTACTTACCACAATTAACCACTATTAAAATTATCTACACAAAGACAATGTCAGGAAATGTTTCCAAGAAAAGGTGGCATCTCAGCTGAATACTGAATAAAAAGAAGCTGGCTAAGTCTGGGAGGAAGCTACTGAATTGCTTCTATTTTTAAAATTACATGCTGTCAGATTTCTCAAAAGATTTTAGGTAAAATAGTGGTTTCAGTGACAGGCAACTGAGCTGGAGAAAACCAGATGTTTTGACCTCCTTATGCTAACCTCCCCTCTAATCCCAAATCCCATACATCGCCCAATCATGGAGGAACTGAATACAACTTTTTTAAATTGATACCAGGGATCCAGCTCATGACCATGCACTTGTGCTTGCAAGGCAGGTGTTTATGCTGCTGAGCTAAATCCCCAGCCCCCAAATATAACTCTTTAATTTTTTTTTCAGTTGATTTTGAAATTTTTTGTTTTTGTTTTTTTTCTTTTTCGTTTTTAGCGGTACCAGGGATTGAACTCACAACTGCCTGCTTGCAAGGCAGGCGCTTATGCCGCTGAGCTAAATCCCCAGCCCCTGATTTTGAATATTACAATTAGAACAAGAAATAGATTGAAAATGGCAGATGACATCTAGTAAACCTGGTTTTAAGAACTGACATTGGGGCCTGGGGGTTTAGCTCAGCAGCATAAGCGTCTGCCTTGCAAGCAGGCAGTCATGAATTCAATCCCTGGTACCGATAAAAAAGAAAAAGACAAAAAAAAAAAAAAAAAAACTGACATTGGGGCCAGGGATTTAGTTCAGCAAGTGCCTGCCTGACAAACACGAGGTCGTGAGTTTGATCCCCAGTACCACCAAAAAAACAAAACAAAACAAAAAAAACCTGACATTGGCCAGGTGTGGTGGTGCATTCACATAATCCCAGCACTCGGGAGGCTGAAGCAGGAGGATCACCAGGAGTCTGAGGCCAGCCTGGTCTACATGAGCATGTTCAAGGCCAGCCTGCACTACCTAGTGAGATCCTGACTCTAAAAAATAAAACAAAAATCCCACACACCAGGCAGGTGCAGTGTTTACCTTTGATGTCAGGTGGCTGGATCCCCACATGGGGTGGAGCCTCTTTCTAGATCTGAAACTTTAAACTCTTCGCTGTGTATTTCTTTTGCACTTGCCACAAAATGGTGTGGTAAGTGCTGCGAGTGTGCTGAGATTTCCAGCCGCATGATCTGTGCATGCATGATACAAAGAGGAACTGCACCTGGAGAGCTGGTTAGTGGCACTGAACCATCTCTGAACCTCCCTGTGAGCTCCCCAGCTCAGAGGATAATGAGGGGAACAGCCCTGTCCACGCTTGGGCATCCCTACCAAAAAACACACAAAACAACCGTGTCTGGCTTGTAAAGTGAAGTGTTTGTACTGTTATATTCCTTCATTATTCACTGAACTTTTTGTTTCTCTTTCTGAGACAGGCTCTCACCATGCAGTTCAGGCTGGCCTTGAACTTACTGTGTAGCCCGGGCTGGTATCCAGCTCCCAGCGATCCTGCCTCAGCCTCCCAAGTGCTGGGATGACAGGCGGGCACCCATTCCAGCCTGCACTTTCGTTCTGTAGAATCCCTCTCCTTACATTTGCTCTACAGCTTTCTTCCTTGTGTCCCAGAGAGGCCATTGCACAGCCCAGCCAGAGGTGATAGGTGAGGCGCTGAAGTACCCCTATGCAGTCCGCTCCTATGGGCACTTTGGCAGCGCCTGGGCAAGGTCCCCACATGCCCCAGCCCCATGGTACCGCTGTGGGAGGGCACCCAGGGACGGGCTGAGCTGGCTTCCTATGCTGGGCAAACCTTGGTGCAGGCCCCCTGACAGGTACTTCTCGGTGAAACTTGTTTCCCAGGTTCCACGCGTATGTTGACTTGGGAGCTAAGAACTCTGGCAGGACACACACTTTCTCTCCCCTGTGGTGTGACCCATCTGTCACTGCTGTGCATTATCCCACAGTGGCCTGGCACCACTGCTGAAATAGTCTGTCTTAAAAGGTCTCAATTTTTATTTATTTATTTATTTTTATCGGTACCGGGGATTGAACTCACAACTGCCTGCTTGCAAGGCAGGCACTTATGCTGCTGAGCTAAATCCCTAGCCCCCAAAAGGTCTCAATCTTAAATATGACTCAGGTGCCAACTGTGGGATGCAGTTTTGTAACACCAGGTCTTTGGAAGGCTGACACAGGAAGATCACAAACTCTAGGCCAGTCTGAGCAACTCAGGGAGGCCCTATCTCAAAGTTAATAGGAGCTGGGGATGTGGCTCAGTGGTGGTTAAGGCACTTGCCTAGCGTGTGTGACCCTGGTTTCAATCCCTAGCACCAAAGGAAAGCAAAAGTTGTTTTGCTTAAACTCGTAGGAATTTGGGGCATGTAAATCATTAGACATAGTTCAAAGGCCAGCCTAGACCATATAGTAAGACCCTGTCTCAAATAAAACATATAAATTCTTTAGATAGCGTATACACATTTATAATTAGTTTACAAACTATTAACTACTGATGCTTAGTAAACTGCCTTGAAACTTGGAAGTTGCTTAATATAATAACTGACCATTTCCTATGTCACAGTTCAGACGTATTTTTCCCCGTGGTGGTGAACTGGGGATCCGGTGCCTGCCAGCAGGGGTTCTTGCAACCAAGCTGCCTCTATCCCCAGCACAAGCCAGAAATGAAGCAAAGCTGCACCAGGGCTGCTGCTCACCGGTAACCCCAGCCGACAGCAGAGAGCTCGAGCCAGATCTGCCTCAGACAGGCTCAGGAAACCAAGGCAGCTGTGGGCTGCAGGGGAGGGTGACTGAGAGCTGGGGTGGGCGTACTGCTCAGCTCCAGGATGGAAACTCCCAGGCCCTCCCTCTATGTGCAAGTAAGGACCTTAACAGGTCTGAAATGGGAAGAAAATGTTCAAACGGGGAACAAGGGAGGGGAAAGGCAAGGGAAAATTTTAAGAAATGAGAAAAGGGGAAAATGAAAATACAGCTTTTGTAAATAAATGGAAGGGGGTTGGAGAGGAGAATGGGGGAAAAAACAAGATGTTCTATCATGCACAGGTACAAATGCGCTGTGATGAATGTGATCATTATATGTATCTAAAAGTACACAGGAAATCTGTTTGGTGGGGCTGGGGATTTAGCTCAGAGGCATAAGCGCCTGCCTTGCAAGCAGGCAGTCGTGACTTCCCAGTCCTTGCCGGGAAGGGTAACACACAACTGGAATACCAGCTAGGTCCCTAGGGGCTGCAGCAGGATGGCTACAAGCCTGAGACCAGCCTGGGCAGCACTGTGAGGCGAGACCCTGTTCACACACACACACACACACACACACATTAAAACTGACAGATGGTGGACGTGCTACTCTAATCTCATTATTTCAGAGAACATACAGGTGACACATATTTCTACGTTCTGTTCCCATATTTCTAATGACAGCAGTATTGAAATCAGTATGTCTGTTTAGGATTGGCTAACGCACTTCGGGATCCCCAGGCTGCTTTCTGGGGAGGTGCTGCCCCCTGCTGGTGCTCTCCGTTTTTGCATTGCTCAGTGAATTTATTCAGCCATCCCCACCTGCTCCTGATTAACCCTTTCCTGTAAAGGGTACACTTTCCACACTCAGGGTGGTACAACATGCAGACTCAGAGTAAAGCTCACCATCTAGCTTTGTGAAAGAACTGACAGGAACTGGGGCTCCTGGCAGAGGTGTTATCCCAGTATTAATTTCTAATCACAGCTCCCAGGAAACTGAAGCAGGATGACCTGTCCAAGGCCATTCTGATAAATTTTGTGAGACCTTCTCTCAAAATGAAATCTTAAAAAGGCCCAAGAGGTCAGGCCAGGTAATTCCAGCGCTCAGGAGGCTGGGGCAGGGCAGCTGTGCCTCCAAGGCCAGCCTGGACTACGCATATGCAGCAGAACTTTGCCTCCAACCACCAGTAAAGGTGTGGGAAGGTCGGTCCCCAGCCTAACAAAACATGGACCTAAAACAAATCACCTGATTTCTTTGGCTTCCTCCTACAAAAATAAAAACCTTTCCTACACTTGACTTTCTGTGGTACTGGGAATTGGACTCATGAGGACTAGATGCTTGCCAGGCAGGAGCCGTGCGGCCATGTTGCATCCCCAGTCCTCTACATAGAACTTTTGTAAATTAAAAAAAAAAAAAAAAAAAATGTAACTCTAGCAACATACCAGGTCTAACTCCCAGTCTGGGGGACACAGTAAGAGCCTATACAGTGGGCACACATCTGTGACCTGAGGACGCAGGGAGGCTATAGCAGACTGGCAAACCCAAGCCCAGCCTGCGGTCTACCGAGGGTCCACAAGTACCTCAAACAAATGCAGACTGCAGAGGTGCTGGGTTCAATTCCAAGAAACAAAGTCCAGCATGCCAGAAAGGGCAGGGCGGTTTCCAGTTCTTAGCGAGGACTCAGCTTCTGCTCTACCCCAGTGTCTACCTGGATTACTCAATTTAATGCATTCCCAGATCCAAGTATAGAGGCCCCAGCACGCACCGCAGGACCTTCCTAAGAAAGGCAGAGCCGTGGGGGAACTGTGCAGCTGTCCAGTGCCCATCTCAACACAATGCAGCCCCCATAACAAACAAGCTCTTCCTTTACTGATGGTAGATTTTGGTGAGAACCTTCCCTCCTGCTGGGCTGGATGGCACTGTTGCACACCCTGTATGTTTTCATGCTGTTTTCAAGAAAGATTTGTTAACTTTTCCATCAACAAACTCCAACCCAAAGACACTGGGTCATAACCTGCACACTGCTGAGGGCTTAGTTAATGAGTACAGATTGCACCATGGTTCAGCCCAGTTAACAGATTCACGAGCCAGGGCTGTCCTTCAACCTTTTATTGATGGGCATGGTCCAGGAAGGGTCTAGATTTTGTTAAAGGCGGCCACATCCATGGACTGCACGTAGTCCTCGAAAGCAGTGATCCGCTCCTCCAGCAGGTCTGTCCCGACTTTATCATCTTCGACCACGCACTGTATCTGCAGCTTTTTAATTCCATAGCCCACTGGAACCAGTTTAGCTTTTAAAAAAATTTAAGAGAAGTCTTATTAAAAATGCAATCAAGATTCAGGTGCCAATTTCAAAACGCAAAAAAGAAACTCACAGGAACCCCAGACCAAGCCGTCGGCCTGAATGCTGCGGACGCACTCCTCTAACTTCCCCATGTCTGTCTCGTCATCCCAGGGCTTCACGTCTAGCAAGATGGAAGACTTGGCAACAAGTGCAGGTTCTAGAAGATAAGAAGCAGCATTATTTAACTGCGGCTGTATTTTTTTCTCCCAACTCCAAATCTCAGCAGGGCATGGGGGCCCATGCCTACAAATCCTAGCACTTAGGGAGACAAGAGTTTGAGCCCTGGTCTAAAATAAAAAATGACAAAAGGCTGGTGGGGGGGAGTAAGCTAAGTGTAAATGCCTTAGATTCAATTCCCAGTACCACAAAAACAGAAATAAAACTTCCAAATTTGTGTTTTGAAAGGTACCATCTCCTTAGTCAAACCAAAGGACAGAATACACTGTCTGTCACACACATGCCCACTTTCTTCTTGGATAAGAAAGAGGTATTTAACTGTGTAACACTTCCTTTCCCACAGTGGAATGCCACAGCTGCTACGATTGACAGCAGCTGCAGACCAGTAGCTGTGGACATTTTTGAGAGGAAGAACTGCTACAAAAGGTTTTAAAACACTAACCCACCGGACAAACACTGAAGGAATTACTTTGCAGTCAAGTTTCATAAAAGGCATCTCCATATTGCCATGGAATGAAGACAGACACCACTGATAAATGACCTACTTTTGGCTTTCTTGGACTCGTACTGTGCCAGCCGTTCCTCCCTTAGCCTCTTTGCTTCTTCACTTTCCTGTAAAGAAAAATTGTAGATTTCACAAAGCTGTAGTTCCTCTGCTCAGAGCTAATAGTGCCATTATCTCAAACACCAGCTTTGTCAGAAATAACAAATCCATCAGGAGCTCAGCCGAAAGATGGTGATTTGATTTTATTCATCATGTAACCAGTGAGAAAAACCAGGATTCAAACTCAGGGAAGCTAGCTGCACTGCCCAGGCTCAGGCAGACAAACAGCCTACCCACCTACTGACAGGAAAAGAAAGGGCGGCGTACCTCTTCATCATCAGACCCGAAGAGATCAATGTCGTCATCGTCTTTGCTGTCTGCAGCCCCACTTCCGGTGGTGTCTTCTACATCAGCAGGGCCATACTTTCCCAAAGCTTTCTTCACTCCTGGCAGACTTGACAAACAAATTTAAGTTCACTCTTAATTTGGTATGATGTCTTGTTCTAGAAAAGTACACAACATGTTTTCATTGCTCTTTATAACTGGATCCCTTCTGTAATTTACCCTTCAGTGCACGCCCAGGAAGTGCTGCTCACGCAGCCAAGGTCAGCACCCTATGAGATGTTACACTCAACACCCACTATGAATTACTTTTTCAGTATCAGCATTGAGATCTCGTTCGGCTGTTTCATTCTGAATGAATCGGGGTCCACTTCCCCAAATGTCCACCCTGTCACCCAAGGGCTGCCCCCAGGTCCTGCACAAAGGCAGGGCAATGGAGGGGAATCTCAACTGTTGCTGTCAGCGTTCTACCTGATCTGTGCAAAAAGGGAAGACTTGAGTCTCTTGACTTTCTAACAGTACAAACAAATTAGCTTACAATAAACCCCGACAACGCGAGGGTAGCCTGGGGGGAGGAGGGTTCCAATGTGGTGACATAAATCCTTGAAAGTTTAGAAAGCCAAGTTTTACCCCTCGAGCTGATGCAAAGCTACCTTTACCTGGCCTTTTCCTTTTCGTAAGACTTGATGTGATTGTACCAGCGCAGGGCGTGAAACAAGTCGGCGGGCGGCGGGCAGGCGATGGCTTCGAACACGGCCACATCGGCTTGCGAGGGCACGAACCTGGCCAGACAGGGGAATGAGGCAAGCGCGCGCCAGTCATTCGCAGACACCACACCCATCCATCCCCGATCTGCCACACACCTTCATCTACTTTCCTTTCAAGAGAAAGTTAGAAACTGCTTCAGATCGGCGCCGCCGCTCAGAGTCCACCCGCGGTTCCGAGAATGCCAGCCACCCTGGGGCTGCGAGCCGTAGGACAGCTCCGGCCCGGGTGGCCAGGGGCCCAGGCACGGGAGCTGGGCCACGCGAACACAGGACAGCACTCCCCGGCTGCTGCTCCCCAGCGCCCGGCTTCCTCCTCGCCGGCACCCGCCACGTGGCCCGCCCAGGACGCGCCGCCGCCCCTCCGCTCACCCCTCGATGTAGCTCCGGTCCGCCAGGTAATCGTTGAGCACCTGCAGGCCGGCGGGGCTTTTCAGGTCTCCAAAACCCATGGCCTCAACTGTCTGCGGGAGCTGGGCAGCGAAGAGCGCAAAAGGCCGGCGCCCTGCGCTAAGAGAGAAAAGAGGGCCGCGCCAGACCGGAAAACGCCTTATATAGAGCCGGAGGCGTTTCCCTCCACCGCGCCCGGCCGGAGGTTAAAGGTCACCGTACGCTCCTATTCTCATTCCTCCAGTAAACGCCGCGAGTCCCGAATTAAATGGCCCATCAATTGTCCGCTGACTTTTCGATGTGTTTGGAACCAAATTAATAAAGTGGGCATTTCTGAAACTTCTATCTCTACGGCTCACGAAAACTACAAGAATAGCCCCTTCAAACGCCGGAGACAACCGAAGGAACGCGGTTTGGAGGCCCCGGCAACTTCCGGCGGAACTGCAGGTCCAACTCGTCCACGCCATCTCTTCCCCACTCGCCGGCAAACTGACGGAAATTGCCGAAGTCAATCTAATCCGGAAATTATCGAACCTGGAGATTCTGGTCCCTCTTGGCTTTCCGTTCTCCCTGCCCGGCTGACAGATTTACCCGGGGCCGCCATATTGAGTAAAGCGACCGGGTCTCTGAGGGATCCGTGGGATCTGGACACGCCAACCGAGCATCCTCGGCTGCTCCGGGGCAAAGGTGAGGTTGTATCTAGGTAGGAAGACAATACTGCCTTGGTCTGGGGTTTATTTTTGGACGAGAATGTGCCCTTTGGCTGAGGCAGCTCATTCTCCTCTTGTCCTTGACTGGGCACCGCCTCCCGCCCGGATGTCTTGGGAACCTCTGGGAGCGGATAAGTGAGAGCTGTTGACTCTGGTTGCTGGTCCCTCAAGAGTGCTTGTCCCAGTGCAGGCGTGAAGGCGACCTTTCTTCTGCAGGGCACAGCAGGGCAATGCCCTGTCAGGAGGACGCCGTGTTGTCCGCGAGAGAGGTCCGGTGGCCCGGCTAGTTCAGGCCGACACTGACCATTTCCCCAGATTTCTTTCCTTTTCCTTTTTGAGGCAGGGTCTCACAGTGGGGTTCAGGCCGACCTTGAGTTCACCATGTAGCCCAGGCTGGCCTCGAACCCGTGGCGAGCCTCCTGCCTCAGCCTCCCAGGTGCTGGTGTTAGGCGTGCCGCTCGGCCGACTTTGCAGGGCTCGCCAGAGCAGCCGGGCATTCCTTAGCCGCTTGGGCGCCTTTGCAGCGTCCCTGCCTCTAATTCGTTTTGTCCACTGATCACGTTGGGAAGCACTTTTTTTTTCTTTTTCTTTTTTATCGAACTCAACGACCACACACTTGCAAGGCAGGCGCTTATGCCGCTGCGCTAAATCCCCAGCCCCTGGGAAGCACTTTTTATTCCTTTCTCGAACCAGGAAAATGACAAAAAGAACTTCATGGAAGTTAGCTCAGGGCCGCAGGTTTAGCTCAGCCGCACAAGCACCTGCCTGGAAAATGCGAGTTCGTGAGTTCGATGCCTGCTACCGAAAAAAAAGAAAAGGAAGAAAGTTAAAGGCCGCAGCGAAAAACACCTGGAAGTTATTCACCAGCTGCTGGTGTCAGATGCATGCATTTTAAGAGCTGAATCAGAGATAACTTCATCTACTCACTGAGACTATGGAAACCGTACAATGTGTAAAATTTCTTTTTCTTTTGTCTCTCTCTCTTTTTTTTTTTGGTTGGAGCACAGTGTTTTGTGTAGTGTGCATCCTTAAATGGGGTGTTATGGCCCAAACACCCTCACTTTTTATTCCAGGAAAAAGTCTCTGTTAATGACAGGCTGAAATTAAAATGTGATTCACTTAGCAAAGTTACTAAACCTGTGCTCACAAAATGTGTAACAGTCCAGATGTATCTACAGAGGAGAATGAAAGGACAGCTGAGGCTGCTGGAAATATTACAGGCAGTGCAGCTGCAAGGCGGGAGTCAAGTTCTGCCCTATGGGGTGGAGGAAGCCCCAGGTTATTGGAGCCACCCCTTTGAGGTTTCCTGCCTGCCTCCCTAAGACCCAGACTATTGAGACCGTGGTTACTGACCAAGGTTAACAAGGTCATCCAGGTGGCCTTGGGTCGAATCAGTGGTGGCCAAGCAGATATCCTGGTGATCTTTTTGGTTGATTATAGTTTTGCCCCATGTTGTACCCACCTCCTGACTGTGCTCTGTAAACTTTCTCAGAGAAGTGGACCCATTGGCAGCCCATTTGGGACCCCTCCTATCTGTCCAGAGCCATTCCTGACTCCATGCCTATTCCCCAGTAAGCTTTCCTACCGTTAACTCCCCTTGTCCTTAGAATTGATTCTTCTGCTTCAGGAAACACAGGCTCGGAGTGCCTGACATCTAATGGGATTGCAAGTGGAGGTGGGAGGGGATTTCCATATTTTCCCCTGTATCCATGTGATTGATGGGGGAGTAGTTAGGAAGTGTTTGGATGAGCTGATAAGGGAAGCCTGAGGAAAGGGTTGTAAGCCAGGATTTGAAGGATGGGGAGCGCTCAGACAGGGTAAAGGAAAGAGGCCGCAGAGAGAAACACAGTCCAGGCGATAGACTAGACGAATGCTTTGGAGGTAGAAGTGAATACATGGTGAGAAAATACAGACTGCTGTAGTCCCTGTGTGGGGAAATGGCCAGACTACTTTTAGAATTGGTCAGTTACCTTTTTCCCACCTAATAGAAGTACACTTTTCCTCCATAGCTCCACATTTAGTTGTTTGTGGGTTGTGCTACAAAGTAAGTTCAAGGCCAGCCAGAACCGCATAGTGAAACCCTGTCTCAAAAAAAAATAAAAATAAAAACCAAAAAACTGCCAGGGGTTTAGCTCAGCAGTACAAGCTTGTCTGGCAGGTGCAAGGTCATGAGTTTGATATCCGGTGCCAAAAAAATAAAATTCCCTGTACTCTAAATCAGTAAGTAAAGTTAGCACTCATTTTGTACTAGAGGTTTTAATAAGGTTTTTAAATTGTATGAAATGTGTAGTGATTGTTGATTTTTTTTCTTGTGCTGAGATCAAACCCGATGCCTATGCCAGTGCTAAGCAAGTACTATACTACTGAGCTACATGCTCAGATTGTTGATTGTGAGTCTGTTTAATGCTCTGATTCACCAAAATCTGGTTTACTGTGTATGTCAGCATGTGTGCGTGCTGTTCTAGGAATTGCACCCAGGGCCTTCATAACTGATCTGCATCCTGCCCTCGCCTTTTTTTTTTTCCAATTTTTTTTGAGACAGGACCTCCCTGTGTAATCCGAGCTGGCCTTGAACTTGCAGCATTTCTCCTGCCTCAGCCTCCCAAGTGCCAAGACTACAGGCGAGTGCCACTGTGCTCAGCCGAATTCCTTGTTAAACTTTTTTGGTTTCTTTTGAGGCAGAGTCTTACTAAGTCACTAATTTGCCCAGGCTAGGCTCTAATTTGTAACCCTCCTGCCTCAGTCTCCCAGAGTTCTGTGATTACAGGCAGGTACTACTGAGGCCGGTTTCAGGTTTACTTTTTATGCCATCAGTAGAGGTGAGGATATCAGTGACAGAGTGCTTGCCTAGCATGGCCAAGACCTCAGTACTTCCTCACCTAAAAAGAAGTCCTTTAAAAATACACGCCTAAGGCCAGGGGTTTAGCTCAGTGGTGTGAGCGCCTGCTTGACAAGTGAAAGGTCGTGAGTTTAATCCCCTGCACCCCCCAAAAATAATAAAGATACAGCTGGATGTGGTGGCGCATGTCTGTAATCCCAGCACTCTGTAGGCTGAGGCAGGATCATCTTTGCAAGTTCAAGACCAGCCTGGGCTACAAATTGCCCAAGGCCAGCCTGAATTGCATAGTGAGACCATGTCTCAAAAAGAAAAAAAAAATTCGGGGTATGGTGACACTCACCTATAATCACAGCATCCAGAAGGCTGAGGCAGGAAGATTTGCAGCCAGTCTGAACTGCATTGTGAAACCGTGTCTCAAAAAGACAACAAAAATACTACCCCTTCTGCTCAGATGTGGTGATGCACGTTCATTTACACTTTTTTTTCTTCTTTTTTCTTTTTATTGGTACCAGGAATCGAACTCACGACCGCCTGCTTACAAGGCAGGTGCTTATGCCACTGAGCTAAATCCCCAGCCTGAGTGATGCACGCTTATAATCCCAGCCCTCTGAGAGGCCAAGGCAGGAAGTTCACACATTTTTCCTAACCTGGGCAGTTAAGAGACCTAGGGAGACCCTGCCTCAAAAAATAAAAAGAGAAAGGCCCTGGTACCAAAAAAATTTTAAAGGACTAGGGATGAAACTCATTGTGAAGGACCTGAGTTCAATCCCCAGTGCAGGAAGGAAAATGTGTGAAAGTATATGTATGCCTTCAATAGTTTTTTTGTTGTTGTTTTTTTTTTAATGTAGACCGCTTTTTAATTTTGTAGTACAGCAGTGCATAATAATTACTTTTGTCGTGGGAAACTGGTCCATGTGCATAACACAGCTTTTTCCACCCCCTCCCCATCCTTCCCTGCTCTTCCATCTTATGTCTCCTTCCCATTTGCAAAAGCCCTATTTCCATATTTTCTTTTTTCTTTTATTCCTGGTTCAGAAAATTGAACTCTTGCTTGCCAGACAGGCACTGTGCCCCTGAGCTATGTCCCCAGCCCAGTTTGCATATTTTTCAATTTTTAAAATTTTTATCCTTCCGTTTTTTTGTTCCCCTTCCCATTTGAAAAATATCTCCCTACCTCCTATTAATTTTATTTTGCTCTTTATATGTATTTTGGGTTTCTCATAAGAGACCATACAATATTTTAAGTTGGGTCTCTGATTTATTTCACTTAATACAGTGGTCTCCAAGTGCATCCATCCATCTACAAATGCCTCAAGTGTATCCTTTTAATGGCAGAGCAGTGACTCTGTCCCATGTCCCTCATTCTGGAATTTGGTGGCCTTTTTGTAAGAGCATTGTGCTAGATCTTCAAATACAGTAACTGGTGAAATTCCTTGTCCTCACAAGAGTTCATAGGTTTCGAAGTTACTAAAGTTGAAATGTGTGGCTGCACATGCCTGTAATCTCAGCCCCTGAGAGGCTGAGGCAAGAGGACTGCTGTTGAATTTGAGGCTATACATTGCAAGATATATTGTCTCAGAAAAAAATACAGTGTTTAACCTATGTGATCATATGATTGCACAAAAATACTAAAGTTCTGATATGTTTGTAGTTTCTTAAGAGTGCCTTTGTTAAGGTGGGAAAGTCTTGGTAATCCATTCCTATTTATTTCGGTGACTCTGCAAACTTTTAGAACGCCACTGTTTGATACTTGGGGTGATCCTTTGTTGGAGGGGTCGTATGCACTATAGAATGCTGAGCAGCTCCCTGTCAACACCCCATTAGTTGCCAGCAACCGCTCCCCAGTTGTGACAACAGTCTCTCCAGACATTGCATTCACTGTAGTGAGCTGCAGTGTTTGAGTTTCATCATTTCTTTATGGTTATAAAACAGCAAAGCTGCCGGGCCTGGTGGCACACGCCTGTCATCCCAGCACTTGGGAGGCTGACATAGGAGGGTCACTGAGAGTTTGAGGACAGCCTAGGCTGTAGGGGGTTCAAGGCTGGCCAGAACTATATAACGAGATCTTGTCTCAGAAAATAACAAAGTTGTCCTTCATGTGCATGAAAAAGCCAGAATATATACACTAGCTGCTCCTTACCTACTTGTCTGGTAGTGCTCTGAGACTGAGTATTCTATTTCACAGAATTCGGGGGACAGTGTCATGATTTGTGAATACACAATAACTGACCATATGCCAGAGTACTTTAAATCCATGAAACAATATCAAAACCTTTGTAACTGGGTGGTTTTCCCCTGCAGTAACTGCCCTTTTGCTTCATTTTTAGCAGCATGTTGAGGATACCTCTTAGAAGGGCCTTGGCAGGCCTGTCGAAGTCTTCTAGAGCGGAACATGGTGAGTTGGGATGTTTGCATTCGTATTAGACTTGCCGCCTTTGTAAATGCATAGGTGTGTGCAAATGTCTTTTCTAAAATCTGACCCTCCTAATTTGTTTTAAATAAAATAGAAATAAGTGATTTAACTTGACAAAGTTTTCCAAAATTACCTTTGCCTTAGTTTATGGAAAGTATATATAGCAGGAAGTACTGTACGAGAAACCGCACATCAGTGCCAAAATAGAAAAATGAGGCATTTTGTTTTTGAAAAGTGTTAGAAGTGTCAGTGTGAACTACCTTCAAAAGTAGACAACCGTATTTTGTTTGATACATGAGATTAAAAAAGCTTTACTTCTAGTATAGTATTTTAAAAGTGTCCACTTAGGGCTGGGGATTTAGTTCAGCGGCGTAAGCGCCTGCCTTGCAAGAAGGCAGTCGTGAGTTCGAGCTCCGGTACCGATAAAAAGAAAAAAAGACAAAAAAAAAAAAAGTTTCCACCTAGAGAAATAGAAAAATAATATAAAATGCAAAAAAATTTTATACACAGTGAATGAAGAGTTTTGCTGTAATAAGTTCAGTGATGTGGGTTTGTTTTTCACTTTGTGGTCTGATATCAGTTCGAACAACCGCCACCGCAGCCAGCAACCTGATCGAAGTCTTCGTCGATGGCCAGTCTGTCATGGTGGAACCTGGAACCACTGTCCTCCAGGTGGGCTTTTATTTTCGTTAGCATATGTGTTCCATGAGTTTTCTTTAAAAAAACCAAAACAAGCAAACCTATTTTCTTTAAACCATTTATTGCTTCTTAAAAAGAACTACAAATAACAAAATTATATGAAAATAATTTGATTTTCAGTCTTCACATTTCAAACTGGGTGGTTCTTCATGTTTTTGGCATTCTTAGTGAACTGTGGTGGTTACTTTGTTTCACTGCTTATTCCCTTGTGTTACCATTAAAAAGCATGAAATTACCTGAACTAGATGCTATAGGTAAGTGTATGAAAAAGTAACCTTAGTTTGTTGTGGACCTGTTGGAAGCGTCTCACCTTCTTGTAGCCTTTCTATTTTTAATACTGTTTCCAGAGATGCATCCTACAACACAGGTTAGTGAAGCATAGGATGCTCTTGAGTTCATAATCTTCCAAATTTCCCCAGAAATGGCAGAGTTGGGCATGAAGAAGTGCTGCTCCTTCCACCTGTGGGTTGTTACGGAGCTAGCTGTCGGCTGTCATGTGCAGCAGTCTTTTCCAGACAATATGCTACACATAGACATGTACGCATTAACTGTGGAAAACTGTGTCCAAGGTGCGGCAGAGAGGGCAGGCAGTGGAAAGTCATTAGGCAGAGAAGAGATGCCAGGGCATCCCAGGTGATCCCTGAAGCGGTCCTAAACGCTGAAATAGCTCGTCGTGTTTAGGAAGTTTCAAATAGTTCATTAGTGATAAATCACAAGGTGTAAAGTTAAAAAGACAACAGGAAATCAAACTACTGAGGAAGGGCAGGTCTAGTTATGAAATAAGGTAACCTGCCAAAGAGAAGCACTTGTTGTTTGACCTGTCAGAAATTTTGGTGGCTAACCATCTGTTTGACAGTGACTCTAAAGGGTGATAGTTTGAAACATGGGAAACTGGACAAGGGGAAAGAAAGAGTATCTTGTATATGTGGAGTAAGGAGTAAAAGGACCTAAAAAACTGTAACAATGGAAATGAGAACAAGAAAGATACATTAAAGACAGACAGACCTGTAGGAGTGAGGGAAACAGTGCTTAGGATTTTCTGTTCTGCTTGTTTTAGCTTGTTTGGGGACATATGTGGGGACAGAAATGCCTTGGCTTTAAAGTGTCCATGGAACACGTGTGCAGATCCCTCTTTGGTTTTTTTGTTTGTTTGTTTGTTTGTTTGTTTTTTGTTTTTTTATCCATACCAGGGATTGAACTCACGACTGCCTGTTTGCAACGCAGGTGCTTATGCCGCTGAGCTAAATCCCCAGCCAGATCCCTCTTTAAATCAGAAGCCCAGAAAGGTGGACTGTCAGAGCTCTAAGGAAAGAATTAGTTGGGATTGTGGAATGTGAGTGAGGGTGGAACCTGGAAAGCATCTGTCTGTGTATGCTTGCTGTAACCAAGAACGTTTTTTGCTGTCTGAATGGTTAAAGCCCTGGAAGTGAATGGAATCAGAGTGGGCATGCGGATGGAAGCGCTGGCCGTGGAGGGTATTCGAACATGTTCATAGAACTTGCACAGAAGAGGTGGCGGGGAGTGGCGCAGCACTAGCCTCTCTTCATTGGAGGACAGAAACCAGAAGGAGCTTCAACCCAGTGAAAGCAGGAGTCCTGGGATAGGAGCCATGTGTGGAACCGAGAGCAGAAGTGGACCGCGGCCAGCTGGATGGAGTGACTCGCTGTCTCATCCAAAGGAAGGCACCAAGCAAAGAAGGCAGGATACGAAACTGCTGGGACCCACTCTGAAGGGGGAGCTTTCGCCTGCTGTGGCTCGGAGTAGACATGGAAAGCCAGCCGTTGGCACACTCTTCAGAGTGCTTTACCCGGGTTCCCACGGGGGTGACAGCATGCTGAGACTTGAGTTCTGAGCCAGCAGGAGTCGGAATCAGGAGCAAATGAGTAGGGAAATACTGTGTCTTTAGGGGCTGACCTTAGGAGGAATAATAACAGAGACACTGACAGCAGGAATAGTGAGAGAACCTCTTCTGTTTTAGCAAGAACAGAGTGAAGTCACATTATTCTAATGGAGAGCTATTTGTCTGTCTCTCTCTCCATCTGTCTATATCTATTTGCAGTGCTGGGCATGGAACATGGGGTCTCAGGGAGTTGCCCCAATTGGCCTCAAACTTGCCATCTGCCTGCCTCAGGGCTTTAAGTAGCTGGGTCACAGATGTGCACTGCTGCACCTCCATGGATTGTGTTTGGTTTTGTCTTCCAGGCTTGTGAAAAGGTTGGCATGCAGATCCCGCGCTTCTGCTACCATGAAAGGCTGTCCGTTGCTGGTAACTGCAGGATGTGCCTCGTTGAAATTGAGAAGGCCCCTAAGGTACTTAGTAGTAAAATCTCTCACTGTGCTGTGGAAAGCAGGAAAGTTTCAATCTAAATCTTGCAGCCAGCTTTATTTAGAGTCATTACTGAACAGACCTGAAGACGTCGAGGAGCTCGGGGAAGTGAGGAGCCTGGGACTGCAGTGCCACCTGAGTTGCAGGCCTCCCCTTAGCTTGACTTTCCTGTGCACCCGCCTCTTGAGCCACAAATAATGGATGTCAATTGCAGAGCACAGCAGGCCGAAATCCAGGGTTCAGGGCAGGCTTGAGAGCACCTGTCTGTGTGCCTGAGAGGTGACATCCTCCAGCAGTGAAGAGCTTCACTTTTGGGAGGTAGCTGTCCCGTGTTGGCATATACAGCTTAGCTCAGTAGTGCCTATACATGAAGGCAGTTTTTGTTTTGCTTGTTTGTTTTATTTTCCCTGATGCCAGAGACTCATTGCTTCACACCATGCTTCAGCCCAGCCTTTTTAAATTTTTTAAATTTTGAGATAGAGCAAGTGAGTATAGTGTCATGATTATAGATGTTTGCAAGGATCTCTGGCCAAAAAGCATAGTCCTGTGATGTTCTGTTTCACAGCAGTTACACTGACCCTTAGACTAAGCTTGAGAACTATTCACGAAGTAAGATGTTTGTCTTAGATCATTTTGTGTTGCTGTTAAAAAATACTCCAGACTGGATACTTCCTGAAGTAAAGAGGTTACTCACAGTTTTGGGGATGGAGAGTCCCAGATCAGGCTGATCCTCTCTGAAAGGCTTTTCATGAGCACATTTGGCCACTTCACAACATGGCAAGAGAGGCAGCAGAGGGGCTGGAGATTTAGCTCAGCGGCATGAGCGCCTGCTTTGCAAGCAGGCAGTCATGAGTTCGATCCCCAGTACCAATAAAAAGAAAAAAGACCAAAAAAAAAGAGAGGCAGCAGAGTCAGGGAAGACGCCAGTCTTGCTTGCTCTAATAACCCATTCCTGGGGAGACTGTTCCACTCCCATGAGACCTGAGCGCTGTGAACCCTGGCATCAGTCTGTCACTAGTCAGGTCATCCCCCACTCGGCTGCACCTCTGAACAGTCCTCCCACCTTCTAAGCTGGGAGTAGTGGCACATACCTTTAATCCTACACTCTGGGAGGCCTAGGCAGAGGGATCACAAGTCTGAGCCCAGCCTGAACCATTTACTTATGAGACCCCATCTCAAGTTAAAAAACGTCTGGGGACACTCAGTGATTAGGCCTTGGGCTCGATTCCCAGTACTGAAAAGTTTTTTAAGTCCCTCCCCCTTCAATACTCTTGGATTGGGGATCAAACTTCCAGTCCATGAACATTTAGGTCAAATAACCATAGCAATGTCTTAAGTCTTTTCCTACAAGAAATATAATATGCCAGGTTATATTGTGACTAGAAAACTTGAAAAGTTGTAGTTTGAGAAATACTCTTTTCTTGTTCTTAAATGTATAATTTAATGCTTTTATAGAATTTAATGTTTTTATATACTGACTTGCTTATAACTATAAATAAATACAAATCCTGAAATTCCAGGTCGTGGCTGCTTGTGCTATGCCTGTAATGAAAGGTTGGAATATCCTGACAAACTCGGAAAAAACTAAGAAAGCCAGGTACTTCGCTGTTATTAGTGTGGTAGACTTTTTGCGTGTGGTCCTAGCCCTGCCCTTGAGTAACTTAATTGGAGATTCAGGAGGTTGATGTGCTGGGTTCCGGGACACAGGTGCTAGCACACAGTAGGCCAACGCATGTCAGGGACTAACACTGCAAGCCTACTAACACTGCAAGCCTAGAGTGAGATCAGCGTTAAGGGCCCTCACGTAGTGCTTTGTTCTGCTAACCAACAGTCTGAAGGCTCCCTGAGCTGAGATTATTACTAGTTTCTGTCCCTGATTATGTGTAGCTTTTATTTAATTTCGGTTTTTTGTGATACTCAGAATCAAACCTTGGTATACACCCTAGGTGCCAGCTCTACCACTTTTTTTTTTAGGAAAAAAAAAGAAAGAAAGAAATGTGTCTGTGAAAGTTAAAAAGCCATTTTGAGTGCCAGCTACTCATGTCATTTTGCATATTTTAATTTTTCATGCAGAGAAGGTGTGATGGAGTTTTTATTAGCAAATCACCCATTGGACTGTCCTATTTGTGACCAGGGAGGTGAATGTGATCTGCAGGTATCCAGTGTTATTTCATCGATCTTTTTGGTTGTCTCAACTTTTAATTTCGTTATCAGCATTTTACTGACCCTTTGGTACTCTGCTTAAGGACCAGTCCATGATGTTCGGAAGTGATAGAAGCCGATTTTTAGAGGGGAAGCGTGCTGTGGAGGACAAGAACATCGGCCCCTTAGTGAAGACCATCATGACCAGATGCATTCAGTGTACGCGGTGCATCAGGTAATTCTGTCCTTTCTGTGCTGGAATGTCAGTGTGTACTTACTTACTGTGCACAAAGCTTGGTGGGGTAACAACATTGGAAAAGATGGCAATTTCTCTTTGGTGGGAGAAGGTTGCTGTCGTAAACATTTTTTTTTTTTTTCTTTTTCCTTTTTATCGGTACCGGGGATCAAACTCACGACTGCCTGCTTGCAAGGCAGGCACTTATGCCGCTGAGCTAAATCCCCAGCCCCAACATTTTTTACATAGGCCAATAAAATGAGTAGTTTGTTCACTTTCAGTTAATACTAGCTTCAGTTGAATTGAAAATTAAATTTGGACTGAGTATGAAGAGTCACACTCCTAGCTATTGGAAGGCTGAAGCAGGAGGATCACATGTTTGAGGCCAGCCTGGGCAGCTTAGCAAGACCCTTGTCTCAAAATAAAAAGCTAAGGATGGCTTGGGGTATGACTCAAGTGGTAGAGCAGTTCCAGATATGTGTGAAAGCCTTGAGTTCAATCCCCAGTGCTATAAGACTAAAACAATAAAGCTGATAAGCTGTTGAATGCCTGAAGTCCTTACTGCTCAAGACTGAGGCAGAAGTACCACAGGTCTGAGGCCCTGCCTCAGAATAAAAGTGAAAAAAGGGCTAGGGGCATAGCTCAGCATTCCCTGGGTACAATCCTCCGTGTCACCATATGAATGAATGAATGAAATCTGTAAGCATAGATTCTACATTAACTTGCCATGCTGTACCTGTAGGATTTGTACAGTTTTCTACTTGGGTTATACCTGAGTACACTAAATGTGTACATTTATTGAAGTTGTATGTACACTGTAATTGAAAATGGTAGTGTTTGTTTTTAAAATTTGTCACAGTAAAAGACACGTTGCTATTAATCCTCCAAATATTCCCTTTTGCTTTGAACACATTTTTGGTATCATTGTTGCCACTTTCCGTTTTGTTTTCTGAAGCAGTCTTGCTCTGAAATTCATGCTGGCCTGGAGCCCACTGTATAACTCAGTACTCCTGCCGCAGCCTCCAGGTGCTGGGATTACAGATGTGTGTTACTGTGTGCCCAGCCCATTTTTGCAACGTTCTGAGGAAGCTGTTGAAGTCCTCGGTAATGAGTGTCTTTAGTGGTACTGTTGAGACCATTCTCGTGTCCTGAATATGTTCACAGTATTTGTTGGTTCCAGTCGTCCAACCTTGCACAGAGCCAGAAGTCACAGAGCCAGAAGTCACAGTGCCAGATCTGGCGAGTCAGGTGGGTGAGGACACCATCGCGTCTTCACAAGGCCACCTGCCGCTGGATGGCACCAGGCGCAGTCTTCACCTGTAAGGATGCTGAGGAAGGAGGGTTTCTGGAACTGCCTCACAGGGTGGGAAGAACAGTGGCATAAGCATGTTTGTGAAGCCATCGGGGAGGGGGTATTTTGAGGATTAAGGGCACCGTGTCTGTTTACTTTTTCATTGCTGAGACAAAATACTCAGTGCCCAGAACTAAGAGAGGAAAAGTTTATTTAGCTCACTGTCTGTGGAGGTTTCAGTCCATAATCAACTGGCTCCAAGGCAGGGTGGTATGGCAGAGAAGAAGCAGTTCATAGTGCAGAAAGTAGTGAAAAATAAGGGATAAGACACACCTCTTTCTGTCCCTTGTACTGTAACCAGCCTCCTGGAATTAGGGCGGTGCCAGACCTATCAGTGGACTGATTTAGTGATCACCCACCCTTCATCCCAGCACACTTAGTCCTAGCAGTGCACGGTACCCAGTCACGCTCTGAAAAAGCCCCACCTGTGACCACATGAAGCTTTTGGGGGACATCTAGACACCAACATGGCAGTGTCTTTTTCTGGAATAAATTTATTTTAACATTTACTGCATATTGTTCATGCTCTTTTTTTTTTTTTTTGACAATATTTGGGAATTGAATCAAGGCCTTCACATGGACCTACATCTGAGCCCTTTTCTATTTTTAATTTTGAGACAGGTTTTTGCCATATTGCTGAATTACCCAGGCTGGCCTTGAATTTGTGACCCCGCTGCCTTGACCTTTCTGAGTGTTGAGATTATAGGCATGTGCCATAATACCTTGTTGGAATTACGTTTTATTCAAGGTCTATGCCTGCCATTACCCATTTAGTGTTTTGAAAACCGTTATCTTTCTGCTCGTGACTAGAAAATGAAATAATTTTGCTGGACTCCACCATTTGACAACCCATGTTTATCTTACAGGTTTGCAAGTGAGATTGCGGGAGTGGATGATTTGGGAACAACAGGCCGAGGAAATGATATGCAAGTTGGCACATACATTGAAAAAATGTTCATGTCTGAATTATCTGGGAACATCATTGACATCTGTCCTGTGGGTGCCCTAACCTCGAAGCCCTATGCCTTCACCGCCCGCCCGTGGGAGACAAGGTATTCATCTTTGGGCAATTAAAAAAATTTACGGGGCTGAGGATTTAGCTCAGAGGCATAAGCGCCTACCTTGCAAGCAGGCAGTCGTGAGTTCGATCCTCGGTACCGATAAAAAGGAAAAAGACCAAAAGAAAAAAAAAATTTACTACACTGCTATTCAAAAAATATTCAGTGTCACCCTCTTCATGAGTTTAATTGTGGTGGTCTGCTGTTTTTATTTGTTTATTCTAAGTAGAACCCCTTTTATTGGAAGTAGTAAGATTGAAGGTTAGGGTGTACCTCAGCAGTTTTATTGGAGCTTTCTTGGAAATTAATTCTAAGATGTTTAACCACAAAGCTGTGTTTTTCCTTAGTCTTTCCCACCAGTAGTCTTGATATTTAAAATTCATCGTCTTCGGGCTGGGGATTTAGCTGAGTGGCATAAGCGCCTGACTTGCAAGTGTGTTGTCGTGAGTTCGATCCCTGGTACTGGTAAAAAAAAAAAAAAAAAAATTCATAGTCTTCTGTTATGTATTGACTTTTCAGGCTTTATTTAACCAGTTCCTATTATATACTTAGCTTGTTTGTATTTCTTTATAATTACAAACTTGTGGAAAAACATTGCTATTCATAAATTTTTTTGTATATTGTATTTCCAATTCTTATGAAACCAAGAAGTAGAGTAGGTAGATACAGCAGATTTCCTTTTGCTTTTTTTTTTTTGTTTTTTAGTTTTTGACACAGGGTCCTGTTATATAGTTCAGGCTGGCCTTCATTTCATTACGTACCACAGGCTGGCCTTCAGCCGCCAGGAATCCCCTGCCTCAGCTTGCTGAGTGCTGGGATTACCCAATGTGCATGACCACACCCAGCAAGTAGGAATATTTAGGATTTCTTGAAACATGTCAAATTGTTCTTCAGTTTTAAACTTTATACTTTTCAACTCCAGCTCCACAATTTCTATGTTGTTGTTTTCTAAAAGTATCTGTATCCTACTAAAAATGTTGACTTGTTGACTCATGAGTGTCATGCTTCCTGCTTAATTATTTTTTATTTATTTATTTTTATTGTTTACTTATTTATGGTTTATTTTGGTTTTTTGCAGTATAGTTCAGGCTGGTCTTAAACTCACTGTGTAGCACAGGCCGGCTTCTAACTCCAGTATTCTCCTGCCTCAGCCACCCAAGTGTTGTAATTACAATGTGTGCCATCACAGCACCTGGCTCTTTGATTCCTTGGTTCTTTGGTCATGTTTTATTTTTGGTGGTTTTGTTTTGTTTTTGAGATAGGGTCTTCCTATGGAATTTAGTCTTTCTTTCTTTTTTTTTTTTTTTTTTTTGGTACTGGGAATTAAACTCATGACCTCAACTTGCCAAGCAAGTGCTTATGCTGCTCAGCTGACTCCCCAGCCCTGTAATTTAATCTTGCATTGAACTCAGTGGTAACCCAGGCTGACCTTGAACTTGTGGCAATCCTCTTGCCACAGCCTCCTGAGTGCTAGAATTACTCACCAGCTTTTTATGGTTTTCGTTTTTAACTGAGATTTCTTAGGAAAGTCTCCTGTGTCTGCATAACTTAGTAGTCGGATAATGATTGGGCTATAATAAAACTCTGACCGTCTGCCAGTGGATTGGTGTATGAATGGAGGGGCGCAGTCAGAGCTCAGACACTTTGAAAGTCTTCTCAGCTGGGTCAGCCACACGCTTGCAATCGTAATAGGCTACCCAAGATGAGCGCCCTGAAAGGGTTGCTGAGCGCAGTTTTGTGAGTTCCGCCAGTCGTCTGCACGTTGTCTCTGGGTGTGTGGTTAAGCAGGCATCACGGCAGGAGCTCGTCTCAGAGGAAGCCGCTCAGAGCAGGAGAAGAGCAAGAGACCCTTCCGGCTAGCAAGTGCGTTCCTGCCCTGCGGCTCTGTATCCCAGCAGCACAGGCTGGGGCAGGGCCACACCTCGCACTAGCTTTGTACTTTCTGTGGCACTGTTTTTGCTTTTCATATTTCTGGGTCTTTTTGAGACAGTGTCTCACCATGCAATTCAGACTGGGCTTGAACTCCCTTTGCAGCCCAGGCTGGCCTTGAACTCACAGTGATCCCCCTGCCTCAGCTTGCTGAGTGCTTAGATTACAGGTGTGTGCCCCCAAGCCTGGCATCTCTTTGGCTGTTTGAGTCTCAGTGTTGTCCAGCCTTATGAATAGCTTGGGCTCAGCTGTAACTAAGTGTAGCCTCAGCAGGGAATGTTTGCCCCACTCTCACTGCAGCCTCCGAGAGCAGCGTCCTGACTCCTCTGCTCGGGGGCATCCAGGCCATTGCATCTGTGGGCAGGTTTGCCACTGCTCCCAGTCACATGCAGTGTTCACTCTCAGCTCTGCAGCCTGCCCCATGTGGGAGCAGGAGAGGAGCAGCTCTGAGGCAGACGTGCAGATGAGCAGAGCAGAGCAGCTTTCATGCCGTAAAGCTGCCTGCCTTGGTGTGTGCCTGCCAGCTCTGAGTAGGTCTTCCAAGGGCCAAAATAGTGGATTTTTTTGTCACTTTAGTCCAGCTTTATTATTTTTTTGGAAGGGTGGATTGGCTGAGCTCTAATCATCCATAGCCAGAAATCCTGCTCTTCTTGAGGATTTTAATATTCACATTGCCCCAGAGATAGCCAGTTGTGAGCCCTTTAAATTGGCTTTTGTGTCAGCTGTCAGATTTTTTTTTTCTTCTTTTGTTACTGGGTATCAAACTCACAACCTTATGCTTGCCAGGGCAGACACTTATGCCACTAAGCTAAACCCCAGGCCTTTAGTTGTCAGTTTTGAAGGTTTTGTTAGCACATTGGGAATTTCTGGGATGTGTTTGAATTGCACTTCCTCTAAGCTCTATTATGTTTAGACATTTAGAAGCAAAATTTTAAAAACAATTTTTTTCGTAAACCCGGTAACAAAAACTGCTATTACTCTCAAAATCAACAGAGAGAATGTCCATACCTGCTTGTTTTCTCAGAAAGACAGAGTCTATTGATGTCATGGATGCAATTGGGAGTAACATCGTGGTCAGCACCAGAACGGGGGAGGTGATGCGGATCCTGCCACGCATGCACGAGGACATCAATGAGGAGTGGATCTCTGATAAGACCAGGTGTGTGCTCTTGCTTCTCCTTATCTCTTTCCGTTCATCCAGGAGAATTTTACAGTCATTTTTATAAAAGCATTCATATTTACAAATTACCCAAAGGAGATAGACTATTGAAATTAGAGTTTTTATATAGAGAATGGAATAAAACTGACACTAATTGTCCTAGGCTTAATGATAGCTTTTGCACTACCGTTGAAGGGTATCTTTTTTTCCCCTGCATGGATAAATTGAAGTAGATTAACAAATTTTTTCAGTTGATTTGAAGATACGTCAATTCATTATTCTCTGTTGGAGAAAAGTTAAGTAAAAGAGTTTATACAACAGAATATTGATAAAGTCTCTATAGGTATTTAAGTTTTACAAGTAATTTTAGCTTTTCAGCTGTTGTTTTGTGTGTTATAAGTTTTCAGTTAGCTACAAATATTGAAGAATCAAACTGTTTCATACTTTACTTTTAAGTGATGTCCATAAAGTAATACGCCTTTCTTGCTCGTAAACTAGAATAGCTGATTTGTATTTTGATAGGTATTGTTCTCTGACACTTTGACTGATCTTGTATTTAAATGACATTTCTTGTGGGTGTTAAACTTGAAGTTACAGCTGCCTCTTCAGCGAGCTCCCACACATGGTATGATTTCTGCTGTCTAGATTTGCCTATGACGGGCTGAAGCGTCAGAGACTCACTGAGCCGATGGTCCGAAATGAAAAGGGACTCTTAACCCACACCTCCTGGGAGGACGCGCTGTCCCGTGTAGCTGGCATGGTAAAGCCTTGACAGACAGATCAGTAGTGTGTGATTGTTGGGAAGCATCTTACCTGTGAAGAGGGGGATGTCTTTCCTTTCACTTCTTTCCTGTTGCCAAAACTGTACTCAGTGTTTCGCTTGATAGAATGTTACTGGGGGCCATGGGCTCATGATCCCTACACTTCACAGTGCTGCAGAGGCCAAGACGCGGGTTTAGGCCGCGTCTGCTGGCTGCTATGAGTAGTTGCACTAGGGCCGATTGAGCGCATAGGAAAGGCAAGCCTGACTGGCACCAGTGTCCCAGCCTGCCTTCCCAGAGAAGGCTGAGAATGAGCAGAGGTGCAAACGGAGGGGTGTAGGTCAGTAACATCACTTGTGCTCAGCATTGCTTTCAACACGGGTTTCATTGGCAGTGCCAAAATAAAGAGCAAAAGCAGAGAGAACACTTTTCCCGATCAGAGAACAGCAGTGTAAAACAAAGGCCTAGAGGGAGGGGCTGGGGATTTAGCTCAGCGGCATAAGCACCTGCCTTACAAGCAGGCAGTGGTGAGTTTGATCCCTGGTACCGATAAAAAGGAAAAAGACAAAAAAAAAAAAAAGACCTAGAGGGAATAGCAGACTCTTCAAAAAAAAGGTTTCATTTAAAGTAACTGTAGCTCCAGAGTCTTCATCTTCCTCATTTTAAAAGCCCTTTTGTTCCTACATATAAAACCTTCCCATTTTACATGGTGGCACACACCTGTAATCCCAGCTTTCTGGAGGCTGTGGGGCAGGAGGATCCCTGCAAGTTCAAGGGTGACCTCAACTATGTAGCGAGTTTGAGGCCATCTGGAACCACACAGCAAGACCCTGTCTCACGAATAAATAAATAGACAAAGAATGCATCTACCTTCCTTCCAACGTGGTATTAATTAGCCATACCTCACATAAACCACTGCTGCTTCTCTTTCACTTGTTTATCATGGGACTGGGGATGGAATCCAGGGCCATGTACGTGATAGGAGTGCAAGCTATACCCTAATTACTATAAGCTTTCCAGTCAGAAGTTTGTTGCTTTTTTTGTATAGATGTCAAAATAATTGTCGTTTGTTTTCTGAACAACTCATCATGGTCTTTGCTAACAGTGGGTTTTCGGTGATGTTTTCATCCATTTCTAGCTGCAGAGTTTTCAAGGCAAGGATGTGGCAGCAATTGCAGGTGGCCTGGTGGATGCTGAGGCCCTGATAGCCCTGAAGGATTTGCTGAACCGAGTGGACTCTGACACCCTGTGCACGGAGGAGATCTTCCCCACTGCGGGTGCTGGGTGAGAGCTGTGAGCCTGTGACCCAGCCCAGTGTTTTTCCGTGTGGTTAGCAGTTGATGTGTAAAACAGTCACGTCTTTCCTGTGAATGACCGCTGTGGATTCCCCAGCATCGCCATCAGTTTGTTTTCACATGTTTTGATAAAAATCAAACCAAGAGCTGGATGATAAAATCCAGTTACCAATAAGTATCAAAACTTTGTTTACTTGAGAAATATTCCATCAAAATGTTTCTTCCCAGAGTGCCATGGGTTTGATGAAATGAGGATATTCAATGGATTCTTAGTGTATATTAGCTTTAAACAAAACTTGGATTATATACACTGTATTTCCAGAACAGATTTGCGTTCCAATTATCTTCTTAATACTACAATTGCTGGTGTGGAAGAGGCAGATGTTGTCCTTCTGGTCGGTACAAATCCACGTTTTGAGGCGCCACTCTTTAATGCCAGAATTCGGAAGAGGTTAGTAATATTTATTCAGGACTTTTAAAATGTGTGGGGTTTTTTTCCTGATAAATATGTGAAAATTGGAATTTTAGAGATATCCTATAAGTACTACTTTTAATGAGAATCCAAAAGCTAATTGGAGTGTGGCTTTGAACAGCCAGCCACCGCGACTGATCTCTTGATTTTGTTAGTTTTTAATTTGCAAATAACTTAAAGTGTTTAAAATGGCCTTTGGGCTGAGGATTTAGCTCAGCGGCATAAGCACCTTCCTTGCAGGCAGGCAGTCGTGAGTTTGATCCCTGGTACCGATAAAAAGGAAAAAGACCAAAAAAAAATAAAATGGCCTTTGTATAACCATTTTTAAACATTTTTTACCCAGATTAACTGAAATTAACATTTTGCCATATTTGTTGTATGATGTTCCATGTGTGTGTATGTATGTATCTCATCTGGATCATCATCCTGAATCAAAGTGCAGGCATGGTACCTAAATACTTCAGTGTGAATTCCAAGGAGTATTCTCTCAGTCAAGAAATTTAGTATTGATAGAAGAATATTATCTGATGCATAATTGGCAGTTAAATTTTACATATTTTACATGTTTTTCCATGATTGCTTTTGTAGCAGTTTTATTTTTCCTACCAGCATCTTCTAGAATCATATATTGCAATTAATATCATAATTCTTCAGGCTACTTTGTTTTTTTGTTTTTTTGTTTTTTTAAAGGCAGGATCTCACTATGTAGTTCTGGCTGTCCCAACCTCACTGTGTAGCTCTGGCTAGCTGTGAATTTGTGGCCCCCGTCCTGCCTCAGCCCGCCAAGTGCTGGGATTGTAGGCATGCACCACCGTGCCTCACAGGCTGCTTTTTTAAAAAAAGTTTGTTTGTTTTTTGCTATTGGAAATCAAACTCATGACCTCACGATTGCCAGGCATGTGCTGTGCTGAGCTATATCCCGACTAAAAAAAATCACTTTTTTTTTGGTGGGACCAGGGATCAAACTTTGGACCCCATGCTTGCCAAGCAGATGTTTATGCCACTTAACTAAATCCCCAGCCCCTAAAAAAACACTTTTTAAAGAGGACAGGTGAGTTATTTTGTAGAACACTTCCCCATCTTTGTTGTTTTGTATCTTAGAGATTTATAAATAGGGCAGTCATATAATTTATTGTCTAAATTAGGAAATTGTTGAGAGTGAAAGAGGAAGTTACTTCAGGGTAACAGGTACCACCTCGCTCTGTTTCAGAGAAGCCATTGCATTTATAACTCTTTTCAAAGAAGGTAGATTCATAGTTCCCTGTCCTAAAGCATAAATATGAATTTCATAGTTTATCTTTGTGAACTATATTTAAATGACCTTAGGGAATAATTAGATATTGATCTGCCACGCAAATACAACAAAATAGAAAACTTTAGATCAAGGTCTGAGAAAATTAATGCATTGAATTGCCTTGGCATGAATTTTGGAACACATTTTTAAAAGTATACAGTAAATTCAGGGGTGGAGGACTTAGCTCAGTGGCACAAGCACCTGTCTGGCAAGTGCAAGGTTGTGAATTTAAGCCCCCGCCCTGGTACCAAAAAGTATACAGTAAATTCTGTTAAGATTAAATGTTCTTCTAACTTTTGTAATTATAAATAAAAGTAGGGCTTTGCATTGATGAGGCTAACGCTATACTTCCTTTATTGGCTCTAAAAAGTGTTTTTATTTTAGTTGGCTTCATAACGACTTACAAGTGGCCCTCATAGGCAGTCCAGTGGACCTCACGTACAGATACAACCACCTGGGCGAGTCCCCCAAAGTTCTGCAAGACATTGCTTCAGGAAACCATCCATTCAGCCAGGTGCTCTCAACTTCTATGTGTCTATTATTATTGATCTTGATTACTATTTTAAAAATGCATTGTCTTTGTAATAACAATGTGTAATTATTGTGAAAAAATGTTAGTGCATGAAATATGGTGCATTGTGGGGCTCCTCTAGCTTGGTGGTGGAGTACTTAATTGCCTAATGTGTGAGGCAAAAAGCACAGCCTGCAACCACCGGGAACAGATCCTGGTGAAACAAAAACTGAGATCATCTCTCCATGCCTATCTTAGTTACTTTTGTCACTGCTGAGACAAAATATTGAAAAGCCAAAGTTAAAGGAGAAAAGATTTCAGCTCACACTTCATAGGTTTCAAGGCAGGGTTGGCATGGCAAAGGGTCATCGCAGAGGGGGAACAGTCCATGGCAGGGCAGGGCGGAGCAGTCAGAAGGCAGTGAGGTAGCAAAGCACTATTTCTTTCTGTCTTTTTGTATTCCATCCTTGTGGGATAGAATTAAGCTGTCTGCCTTTCAGCAGTATCACCCACACCCAGAGCAGGGCTCCTTCAGTCTCAGCACCACATGCTCTAATCCAGCCACCTTTGAAACACCCTTCTATGACTGCATGAGTCCTTGAGGGGACATCTAGATACAAGCCATAACAATACTGAGCTTTTTGAGACAAGGTCTGACATGTAGTTGAGGCTGGTCTTGGACTTACAATGTAGCCTTGCTCTTTAATGCTCCCGCCCCACCTGACCGTGTGCTGGGGTTACAAGCATGTGACATGTGCCACCATACCTGGCTTACATGTGCTGCAACAAGGAACGACCACATCTCTTCCTATGTCTTCTATTGTACCCAGGCTATTCAGGGCAGGTGGCACTCACACCCTTACTCCTAGTGCCCTCGATTGCAGCATTGCACCATGAATCAGTTGTAGCACCACACACTCTGTCTGCCTCTGAAAAAGCCGTCCCTGTGCCTGCATGAGGCCAGACCCAAACCATAACATTCCAGCCCAAAGACTCCTGCACGACCCTTTATGCAAAAGGCGCTTAATCCATCTACAAGAGTTGCTAAAGTCCTAACAGTTTCAGCATTGCTGAGATGTCCAAGTCCTCTCTGAGATTTAAGGCAAACTTTCAGCTGTGAGCCCCTGTACAAATGAAAAAAAAGTTAAACACTTCTAACATGCAATGGCACAAGATAGACATTCCCATTCTAAAAGTTACAAATAGGGGAATAACAAGAAATGGGACTGAAGCAAGTCCACAATCCAGCAAGGTAAACATTAAGGCCTAAAGTTCCATGTGCAGCCTCCAAGGCAGTTCTGAAGTCCAAAGGGTTTAGGTGGCTCCACACCTAGCTCCTGTGGCTTCTCTCTAGGGCCAGCTCTGCTCTCTCCTTGTAGTTTTCCTTGAAGATGACGTTCTGATTTCTCCACACTACCTGGCCTCCCAGGCCTTTTTTTTTTTTTTTTTTTTTTTTTTTTTATCAACTAATGACCAACTCCCAGGCCTTCTTAAATCTAGGTGAAACTTTCCTGACCCAACATCTCTTGCATTCTGCATGCACCTAAAATCAGCACCACGTGGATGATGCTAAGGTCTGCTGCCAGCAGTAGCAGTACCCAGGCTTGCTTCTCTTGGCTGTAGGGCTCCAGGGTCTATGAAGCAGATCCCTACGCACAACTTCTCTAGGCCCCTGCCAGTCTGGACCATGGTGCTCTGGGGCTGTCTTCTCAAGGAAAAGTCTTTATGCTTTGTTTTGCAGCACATACACCACAATAAAAGCAGTCTTTTACTTTTGTAATTTTGAGGCTGCCAAGGGTGCAGTCCTGCTGGTTCTTACAATATGCTTGGGCCATCTTTTCTGTTATCAGCAATCAAGATTTCTTCTGCTGTATCTTTTAAGTTGATAACTTAGTTGTGCTTCTTTTCTCGCCATACTCAAAACACTTAAATCATTGTGCTGGGCTCTTTGCTCTCGATTCTCAACATAAATCCAGCTAACAGCCTCCAACAGTAACCATGCCACTGTTTTAGCATTAGACTGCCTTGTAATTACTTCTGCAAAATTAATTAGTCCACTGCTCTTGATCTCAGTCTCAGGAGAAGTTTTTGGACATCAGCAAAATCCAAACAAACTTAGCGCCAAAGCATAGCACACATCATCTGGAGTCTGGCAGCCAGTGCAGTCCTCAGCAGAAGCCTCTGGAACTTGGTCTTTACTGGCAGAATTTGTATGAGCATTCTGGTCTTCTGAGCTCTGAGTAGAAATTCCCAGTAGCCCAGGGACTTAGCTCAGCAGCAAAGTGCCTGCCTGGCAAGTGTAAGGTCATAAGTTTAATTTCTGGTACCAAAAAAGAAAAAAGAAACTTCCACCAAGTATGCCTCAAGTGTTCCAGCTGTACTCTTTCAGCCTCCATCACAAAGTCTTCCCAAACTTCCCACAAACCAGTCGCAAAGGATCCTGAACCACTTGGTCAGGCACAGTCACAGGAACAACCCCATTTCTCTGGTACCAAATCTTGTGTTACTTGTCTTTTGCTAAGATAAACTACCTGACACCCACAAGTTAGAGGAGGAATGGTTTATTTGGCTCACAGTTTATAGAAATTTCAGTCCATCATCAGCTGTCTCTAAGGCAGGGTGGCACAGCAGACAGGCATTGCAGGGGAAAAACAGTTCATGGAAGGCGGAGGGCAGCAGACCAGCAAGGGACAACCACAGGTCTTTCTGTTCCTTTTATCTCTCCAGGCTGCTTAGGGTAGGCAGCACTCACACCCTTGATCCAAGCATTGCACCATGAATCAATCCCAGCATCACACACCAAATCCGGCCACCTCTGAAAAAGCCCACCTATGAGTGCAGGAGGCTAACAGTGCCTTTGTCACTGTGATAAAACCTGTGATAAGCTACTTCTTCCCTATCCAGTTTTGTTTTGTTGTTGTTGTTGTTACTGACTTTTAAATTATTAATAATTTATATTTGATTTTTCCTGAAGTTCAGTAGTTTCACCAAAATATTTCCTGAAGGTGGTATGTCTCTCATTGTGATTTTTATTATTTTTTTTCCAATATCAGGAATCAAACTCAGAATTCGTGCTTGCCAGATAGGCACTGTGCTGCTGAGCTAAATCCCTACCTGTCTCACATTGTGAGTGCTTGCTCAGCATGTGTGAGGGCTGGGTTCAGTCTATAGTACCACACATACCCACACCCTTACCCATGAAGTGGGCAAGCCCTGCTTGGTGGTTCTGAATTAAAAAAAAAACTACCATGATTCACAAAAACATATTAAACAATGTTCAGGGCTGAAGACATAGCTCAGCGGCACAGCGCCTGTCTGGCAAGTGCAAGGTCCTGAGCTCAATTCCTGGTATCAAAAAAATAAAAATGTGTTCAGTGAGCATGCTCCCCATCTTCCCTCTGGTTTTTATCTCTGCGTTAATAGGCAGCTAGTGTTCTTAGGGTACTTTTTCTTCTATTGTAAATTTAAATATTGTGTATTTCCCAGCAGTTCTTTGTTAGCAGTACAGGTGTTGGACCTCCTTTTTCTCTTTCATCTGTCCTTCCTACTTTGCTGTTTGGTTTTCCTCTAGTTTGTGAATAATCTTTGATAGCCTGTCTCCTGTCACAATTCACCATCATGTTCTGTTTGCAGGGTGGTTTTCAGCTCTGTAATTTCTTTTCCATTCCTTTTCTGAATTCTGTGATGAATATCTATAACATGATGATCCGTGCCATTTCTCTGGGCTTTTTTTTTTTTTTAAGTGAGAATGTGTTGTGTTTTTGTTTATGTTTTTGTTTCTGTGACAGGATCTTACTGTGTAGTGTGGGAGGGTTTGAGCTCTTGCATCAGCTTCCCAAGTGCTGGGATGCCAGGCATGCACCACCATGATTGGTTGCGTTTCTCTGTGTTTTTTTGTTGCTGTTTTTTTGGTTGTTGTTTGACACAGAAGCTCACTGTGTAGCCCAGGCTGGCCTGAAACTTGTGGTGATCCTGCTGCTTCAGTCTCCTCAGTGTTAAGATTTCAGGCATGGGGCTGGGGATTTAGCTCAGCGGCATAAGCGCCTGCCTTGCAAGCAGGCAGTCGTAAGTTCGATCCCTGGTACCAATAAAAAGGAAAAAGACAAAAAAAAATTTTTTTTTCAGGCATGCACCACCATGCCTGACCTGAATTCTTTGTTTTCTGGGAAATAGATTTTATAATGAAGGTACTGCTCTTTGTGCTTTTTAGGCATAATTCTCATGTTGATTCTTTGATGGTGGCCTGCTGTTTTTTTTTTTGTTTGTTTTTGGTTTTTTGTATTTTTACCGGTACCAGGGATCGAACTCACAACCACAGGCTTGCAAGGCAGGTGCTTATGCTGCTGAGCTAAATCCTCAGCCCCGGCTACTGTTATTTAAGAATGACACAGGATGAGTGGGAGAATGAGCTGTATATTGCTTGCTTCTTACTAGTCTGTCTTCCAGCGAGTGTGTAGTTTCTTAGCATGAGGAGAATTACTATGAAATACCTCCTTTTCTTGCCTGTCTGGGATTTGGTGAGACATCGGACTTCAGCATGGTGTGGTCTACTCTTACCTGCCATCTGAACCTCTAAAAGATGTTCCCCCAGACTCATTCTGGGAGGCTACTTAGGTAACATTTTATTCCCAGTGCTTACTTAAACAAAGGAAAGCGTAACCTCTGTGTGTGGTGTGTGTGTGTGTGAGACACATCTCTAGTTTTAATTCATGCTGGCCTCAAATTCAAAGTAATCTCCTTGCCTCAGCCTCCGGAGTGCTGGTATTACAGGTGTGCACCACTACGCTGAATTGTTACTGTTCTAATACTAGCTTGTTTGAATTTGCTATTCAGTCAGCCACTGCACAGTAGGATCAGTAAGATGCTTAGATTAAAGCATCTGGTTGTGTTTCTGTGCGTGCTATGGCCAGCATATCAGACATTCGTCCTGTTACAGCTCATATGTGAGAGGGAAGAGTGTGACTGCGGATATGGAGAGGTATTTGGAATCCTTGGAATGTTTTTAAAGCAAATATTTTTCTCCCTGTTTTTTAAAATAGGTCTTAAAAGCAGCCAAAAAACCAATGGTGGTTTTAGGCAGCTCTGCACTCCAGAGAAACGATGGCGCAGCAATTCTCGCTGCTGTTTCCAGCATTGCACAGGAGGTCCGGGTGACAAGTGGTGTGGCTGGCGGTTGGAAGGTTATGAATATCCTGCACAGGTTTGTGGAGTTGCTGTTTTGTTTTATTTTAATTTTTAATTTTTAATTAATTATTTATTTATTTAATTGAGACAGGGTCTTTCTCTGCAATTCAGGCTGGCCTTGAGCTCACTTTGTAGCCCAGACTGGTTTTGACCTTGCAGTGATCCTCCTGCCTCGGCCTCCTGAGTGCTGGGATTACAAGCGTGAGCCACCATGCCCAGCTGGAGTAGCTGTTTTATACACTGTGAAATTCCAGTAGTTTTTTTGTAATGCTAGAATTGTGCTGAAGGTTTTCAGTGCATTTTCCCCCAGCAGTAACACAAGTTTATTTTAGAAAAGTTAGAGGATTATGCAAGAATGGAAGTAACCCTTATTCCACCATTTACAGGTAGTTTCTGTTGCTTTTCAGTTCTGGGTTTTTTTGTTTTTCTTTAGAAAATGTTTCAGTTACATGTTGGAAGCATTCACTACTAACTGAGAATTTCCCTATGATTAGAAATTCTTAATAGCCGAGCACAGTAGCACACACTTGTAACCCTGGCACTGGGAAGGCTGAGACAAGGATTGTGATTTCAGGCCAGCCTGAACTACATAGTGATACTACATCTCTAAAAGCAAACCGAAAAGCTACCCAAAACAAAACTCTCCAAACAATTTTATAAATACTTCAATAGTTACTTAATATCACGTGTGTTCTATAAATTAGTTAGCCATTTTCTATTTGTGTGTGTACAAGATGTACATGGACAGCAGTTCTAACTCCTTGTGAATAACATGGTGAGGGCTGGGAGTGCAGCTCAGTAGTAGAGGGCTTGCCTAACATTGTTGATAGCTGCTTCTGACTTGTTTTGGATTGTTCCAGTTCACCACATACACTGCAGATCCTCAGAGCTGGGCAGTAGTAGCTGGACCAGAACAACTCGACTGTGCATAGTTATGCTAGGCCTCTTCCATAAAAGCTAGGGACGAGTACCCACCTGTAACCCCAGATACTTGGAAAGCTCAGGCAGGAGGTCAGAAGCTCGAGACCAGCACAGGCAACTTGGCGTGGAAATAAGGGTCAGGGTATATAGCTCAGTGGTGGAGCACTGGCCTAGCACATGCAAGGCCACCAAAAACCAAGTAGTGCTAGATACATACTTGGATTCTCTCTGAGTTATGGTTTTTGAGTGGTGTTTAAGTTTTGCCTTTTTAGTTTCTAAACCATTTACTTTTTTTTTTTTTTTTTTTTTTTTTTTTTTTTTTTTTGTCTTTTTCGTTTTTATCGGTACTAGGGATCGAACTCACGACTGCCTGCTTACAAGGCAGGTGCTTATGCCGCTGAGCTAAATCCCCAGCCCCACCATTTACTTTTCTTTTCATGAATATGTCTGGCTTTAGCATGTGTTTTATGCCTCACTGTACCAAGTGAGCCAAATGTAGAACAGAGGTGACCTAAGGTTTCCATTAAATATCTCATGAAGAGACCCAGTGTCTGAAGTATCTTACATTTAAGTAGCAAAGAGCCTTCCATAGTGCTGAATGTAGAAGAAATTAGGTCTCAGTCATTGCTTACGCTGAACACACTGCAAGTACACCACAGTCCCTTGATTGCCTTCTAGGGTTGCGAGCCAGGTAGCTGCTCTGGACCTGGGCTATAAGCCTGGGGTAGAAGCGATTCGGAAGACCCCCCCCAGAGTGCTGTTCCTGCTAGGAGCAGATGGCGGTTGTGTCACACGACAGGATTTGCCAAAGGATTGTTTCATCATTTACCAAGGTGAGTGGCACTGGGACTCTGTGAACAGAATGGCACATTGTGTATAGCGAGAACTCCTGGGCAGGACAGTTAGTGGCCTGAATATTCGTTTCCATTTGCAAATTCTTTCTCTCCCCACCCTGTTTTTAAAACCAAATTGTAAGCAGTATTATAACACAGTTGATTGCAGTTGAGAGCAACTGTCTAATTTTTGTTGTTTTTTGTAGTATTTGGGGTGAAACGCAGGATCTTTGCTCTAAGCTACATCCCCATTTCTTTTCTATTTTTTATTTTGAGGTGAAGTATTAATAAATGGCTGTTTGCCTGACTTGTATTTGTTAATCTTTTGCCTGAGCCTCCTAGAGTGCTGGGCTTCTAACCATGTGCTGTCGTCCCAGCTGCCAGGTGATGTCTCCTTAGAGTTAGGAGCTGCCTAAATGCCCAGTAGCAGGAACGAACAGTGTGAGTGTGCTCTCTCACGTACTAGATGACAGTAAGAATTAAAAATCAGCTTTTCCAAGAAGTTTAGCATTGCTACATAATCAAGGCTAGCACTTCCATACAGCCTGTAAAAAGTTAAGCAATCATCTGTGCTGTAAGACAATGAATTACAAATAATGCAGTACTGTGGTTTTTAATATTTGGTTCATTTTCTTAAACTTGTGTAGATGCAGTTAAGTTTTCCTGTTATAAATGGAATGTAGTGTATCCCTGGATTTCTAACAGCTAAGTGTTACCAGCTTCCATTTTATTTTGTATAATAGACTTTTATTGCCATAGAGAACATTTTACAGAGCCAGACTTGATCGCACACACCAATAGTCCCAGCACTCACGAGGTTGAGGCAGAAGGATTGCTGTGAGGTCAAGGGTAGCCTGGGCTACATAAGCAAGACTGTCTCAAAAAAGAGAACTATACAGTATTTAGGATTTTTGATATAGTTAAACCAAAATTAATAAACTAAAATCCTATCCTAGTTTTTCCCATAGGTAGTCGATGATGGTTTTGGTATGTGTACTCCATATATTTTCCTGTATACATACCAACATATATGAAATCAAACTAAGTGTTGTGCAGCTTTCTTTTATTTGACTCAGGTCAATTTCTAAAGCTACTATTTCTTTTTTGCATAACTTTTTTCTTCTACCAGTTTTTGTTAATGGGCTGGTACTAACTAGCCCTTCAGGGTACTATTTGCATAATTTTCTGTTTGTGCCTTTTTTAGTGTTAATATTGTCATAGTCCTTCATAGTTTGCCTGCATCACCACTTAAGGCTGCTTTACCAAATGTCACTAGTAAGTCTGAGCGTCTCCACTTTGTAAGTGTGAATGTTCTTGGTTATGCAGTATACATGTGTGTAATAACTAGTTTTGTTTTTATATACAATAATCTAGGAAGATGCACACCACATGCTTTTACTGTCATTTTGGCAGGAAAGGAAATTGAAGTGAGGATGAGATAGGTTTAGTTTTTATTGCTTCCTTCCTTTATTGTTTTAATTTTTAAAGCACTCTAATTTTTTACATGGGAGCTGGGCGTGGTGGCTCATGCCTGTAATCCCAGCACTCGGGAGGCTGAGGCAGGAGGATCTTTGCGAGTTCAAGACCACCAGCCTGGGCTACAAAGTGAGCTCAAGATCAGCCTGAACTGCATAGAGAGACCCTGTCTCAAAAAGGCAAAAAAAAAAATTTTTTTTTACATGGGAACTAAGATATCTCTACTACTGCAACAGACAAAAACAGGAATTAAAAAGGATCTGTACTGTGTCATTCACACCAGTGAATCTGTTTTTCCTGAAATGTGGTGTACCATTTTCCTTCTTCCCACAGGGCATCATGGTGATGTGGGTGCTCCCATCGCTGATGTCATTCTCCCTGGAGCTGCTTACACAGAGAAGTCAGGCACTTATGTTAACACTGAGGGCAGAGCTCAGCAGACCAAAGTGGCGGTGACACCGCCCGGCTTGGCAAGAGAAGACTGGAAAATTATCCGAGCTCTCTCTGAGGTATTATCATCGAGGCAGTTCTCAGTGATGCTGTTTTAAGGGGTATGGGACATGTCAGCTTGTCAGAATGAGTTGCAGAGTCAAGGAAAGTATCAATCTGAAGAACAAAGGGAGTGCAGATCATGCCTAGGGGAAAAATGTGTTCCATAAATGGAAAGTTGGTTGTTGCGCATGTGTGTGTTTGTGTTTGTGACTGTGAGCGGTCTGTGCTCATCTCTGGGCATTGAGCCCAGTGTGCGTGCGTACATGTGTGCGTGTATGTGTGTGTGTGTGTCACTGTGAGTGGTCTGTGCTCATCCCTAGGGATTGAGCCCAGTACTCACATGTGCTAGGGCTGCTCTGACACTGAGCTGTTTTCCCAGCCGTTTGCACTTTTTATTGTGAAACACGATCTCACTAGGTTACCACGTTGGCCTCAGATTTGTGATCCTGCTTTAGCCTCTTGAGTAGGTGGGATGGGAGAGGTGTGCCATTGTGTCTGGCTAAAACAGTGAGGACTTGAAATTGGTAATTTTAGTTTTATCTTTTGCGTAACCAATACTTCTCACTTCTTTTAGTACTCTTCGCTATATAATAAATATTTCCAGGCATAGTGGCATATGTCTGGGATCCCAGCACTCAGGAGGCTGAGGCAGGAGGATCACCATGAGTTCAAGAATTAGCCTACAAGGGGGCTGGGGATTTAGCTAAGCGGCATAAGCACCTGCCTTGCAAGCAGGCAGTCGTGAGTTCGATCCCCAGTACCAATAAAAAGGAAAAAGACAAAAAAAAAAAAAAAAAAAAACAGCCTATAAGCCGGGTGTGATTGCTCACGCCTATAATCCCAGCACTCAGGAGGCTGAGGCAGGAGGATCATTGTGAGTTCGAGACCAGCCTATGCTACAAAGTGAGCTCAAGGCTAGCCTGAACTGAACAGCAAGACCCTGTCTCAAAAAGGCAAAAAAGAAAAAAAAAAAAAAAGAACAGCCTACCTAGCAAGACCTTGTCTAATAAAATCGTCATCTTCACCATATTTAAAATAACAATACACTATTGCCTGTAAATTTTGTATATGACCAATACCATGTTAGTAACAGACACATTCAGGTTTAGTGTAACTTTGTCCCCTTAGTCATTTATTTTGTAATGAGTCTTGTCAGGGAGTGCTTGGGACTGAACACAGGGCCTTGAGCCTCACCACATACTTACCCAGCTCTTTCTATGTGTGGGCGGTACTAGAGTTTGAACCCAGGGCCTCTGTACTGATGTACAGCTCTAGCCCTTTTTCGTTTTTCATTTTGGGCCAGCGTCTTGCTAAGTTGCCTGAGCTGGGTTTGAACTCAGTATTCTCCTGTCAGGTCATTCCAGAGTGCTGGGACACCAGACCTGGCTTCTGCCATCTTAAGTAGTACAGCTTCATGTCATTGTTGGGCATCTGATCTGTTGTAGATTGCGGGTATGACTCTCCCGTATGACACACTGGACCAGGTGAGGAGCAGATTGGAAGAAGTCTCCCCTAACCTTGTTCGATATGATGATGTTGAAGGAGCAAATTACTTTCAGCAAGCAAGTGAGCTCGCCAAGGTAAGAGCTTGCCCGTGTGCAGTGTAGTTAGCAGGGTACCTGGGTCAGTTTCAGTGCTCTTACTGGTTTCTTGCTCCTTTTTTGCAGCTGGTGAACCAGCAGCTTCTTGCTGACCCACTCGTTCCACCTCAGCTGACTATAAAAGACTTCTACATGACCGGTAGGTACCCATCTGCACAGCACTATAGTGCCGAACGTGAGAAGGATCCCGGCATATGCTTATCAGGGTGATTATGATCATTTGTGATTGGCAGTATGTGCTACTTCGAAAACTTGAAGGTTTTCGAAACATTAAACTAATATCCAATTTTTTTTATTTTACTTTAATCTTTCATTTTTAAAATTGAAGCGACGTTTGAAAAATGTGAAACAAGTTAATAGATTTTAAATATGAAACTTTGCTATTATAAAAAAATCATACGGTAGGGGCTGGGGTTTAGCTCAGCGGCATAAGCGCCTGCCTTGAAAGCAGGCATTCTTGAGTTCGATCCCTGGTACCGATAAAAAGGAAAAAGACAAAAAAAAACCAAAATCATACGATTACTTTTTAACATTTTGGTTAGTCATCTTCTAGAGATGTTACACTTACTTTATTAAAATAGAAAACAAGGTTATTCTCTTACTACAGAGGTTTTTTTAAATACAGTTTTATTTGCTACATAGTGAGTTCAAGGCCAGCCTAAACTGCATAGTGAGACTCTTAACTCAAAAAAAATCAGAAAAAAAAAAAAGGAAAGGAAATAATAATAATGATGATGATGACATTAGGAGCCAGGCATGGTGGCACACACCTGTAATCCTAGCACTGGGGAGGGTACAACAAGAAGATTGTTAGTTTGAGGCCAGTCTGCACCATGTAGTAAGATCCTGCCTCAAAGAAAGGGTGCAAAGGAGAGTGGTGGCATTATGTGCATTTTTTCTTACATTTGAAGACTTGTATGTGTGTATACATACTATATAGATAGATAGATAGATAGATACACACATATAAGATGTATATGTGTGTGTATATATATACACATATACATATATATTTGTTGCTGCTTTAGTTTTTGTGAGCTGGTTTCACTATGCAGTTCATGCTGCCTCTTGAACTAACTTACGTAGCTCAGGGTGGCCTGGAACTCATGGTGATTCTCGTGATTGCATTCCAGTGCATTGTCTAACTATTATATTACTCCTCAGGGTAGTTATTAAAAGCCTTTAGCCCGTAAAGGCCTTATCTTAGAACTATCTTAGAACCTATAGCTCCGCGTGACTGTGCAGAGCCTTCTAGGCTTTCCATGATTGTGCCTGAATATGTGCATTGGCTGTGGTGGCTTCTATCTAGAATCCCAGCACTTGGGAGATAATGGTGAAAGAGCTGGAAGTTCAAGGTCAGCCTGGGCTACACAATGAGACCCTGTCTCCAAAAAGAAAAAAGTTTTACTGTGTCCTTTTTAAGAAGTTATATTTAACAAAATGTATGTCTTCTTACCATCTTTCAGATTCCATCAGCAGAGCTTCACAGACAATGGCCAAGTGTGTGAAGGCTGTCACGGAGGGTGCCCAGGCCGTGGAGGAGCCGTCCATATGCTGAGACTGCAGCCTGACACAGCTGCAGATAGCAAAGGGACGTGTACATTACAGAGACTCCTCAAGATTTCACTCGCCCAACAGCTCCGAAGAGAGTCACATTTACTGTTATGCTGTGCTTATTTCAAAGTGGTATTTCAGGTATCAAACAGACTGGCAATTTCGGGTTATATTATGTGTATTAACTATACATTTGCTCTTCCATGTAAAAGCATTGGCAATCTTTGTGACAAATACAAAGAGAATCTTTAAACTGAGTTTTTATAGATCATTTATGTTTTTAAGATGGGCAAAAAGACCTTCCATTAAGTCTCCCATTTTTCTAGTGCTGAAAAACAAAAAATTTAAACATTAGGTTGTTTGGTAAATAGAAAAAATATATAAATCTATGATCAGATACATATGTTGAACACTTCACTCATCACACTAGTACCTAATAATCATTGCGTACCTAATAATTATTCAGCTTTTTCTGTGTGCTAACACTCCCTCCAGTTTTACACGCACTTTCTTTGACTTTTGCTGCAGTCCAGGGAGATAGTAGTAGTGTCTCATTTACAGATGAAAGACACTGGAGCCCAGGTATGGTAAGGAGTTTTCCTAAAGGCACACAGCATGCCACAAACACGAGCTGCTTTCTCTTTTACTCCAAGGCCACTGCTGACTGCTGTACATAATTCTGTCCCACGAATCCATATTCGGCAGATTATTATTTCCGAGATTAGCATGGAAGATACCATGTTCTTCTTTTTCTCCTTGAATGTGTCTCTATGATGTCATGGTAACTTGTGTGGAATTTTTCTTTGTATAATAGATTATACACATGCACACTCCTGAAATGTGGGTCTCAAGTGAGATGGTTCATGTCATTATTATCTCTTCGTGTACATGTGCGGGGTAGGAGTGACATCCAGGCCTTGTATGTGTCAGCCATTGCTCCCCTGCTGAGCTGTACCCGAAGCCTCTTTAATGCTGTCTGTGTGTGATAGCCATCTGTATCGGTGAGCCAGCTGAGTCATTCCAACACTGGGAGAAATTAGCAGCTTTCATAATTTTCAGTTGTCAGACTCAAAAGACATATAAACTTTAGCTAACATAAAGGATAATCCAAAGGCTGGTTTTTAAAATTGTTTTGTTTGTAGTATTGGGGAATTAATCCATGCATGTGCTAGTCAAGTGCTCCACCACTTTTTTTTATTATTTTATTTTTTATCTTGAAAGTCTCACTAAATTGCCTAAGCTGGTCGTGAACTTGAGATCCTTGTGCCTAAACCTCTCAAGTAGCTGGTATTACATATGTATGCTATCACACCTGGCAAGTTGTTTTAGTCAGTATTCAAAATTCTTTTGTTTTGTAATATTTATTCCTTTCTACTTTCATTAAAAACTTAGCCCAACTGTAGGATGTCATTTTCCTTACATAACAAAGAACAAGGTGTTTAGAATAATCAATATCTTTATCTTTAAAAATTTCGTGAGAGGTGCTGGGGATGAGGTTAATGACACAGTGCCTGCCTGGCAAGTACAAGATCTGAGTTTAATTCCTGGTACCAAAATAAAAATAATAAGGCCAGGTGTGTTGGTACATGTCTGTAATCCCCATACTTGGGAGGCTGAGGCAAGATTATCTCAGAGAATTTGAGACCATACTGGACTACAGAGTGTTTCAGACCAGCCTGAACTACATAGTGAGACCTGTCTCAAAAACCCAAACCAAACCAAACAAAAACCCCACTCTGTAGGGCTCGCAGTGGTGGAGCACATGCTCAGCATGTGTGCGGAGCTGAGTTCAACCACTGGTACCAAAAACAACAAAAACAGAAGTAATTGCACAGAACTTGTCACCTTAACAGCTTTTTGAAAGTTTAGTGACACATCATAAAGTTGTATATTTCACTTAGGGTTAGGGTATATGTCAGTGGGGTAGAGTATTCTTTAAGTACATATGAGACCCTGGGTTCAGCTCCCAGGACCAAAAATGAAGTACAACAAAAAATGCGTCACTTGATCACCTTTTTGTTTGTTTTGCTTGTTTGGCTGTTTGGTGTTTTGTTATTGTTTTTGTTATTTATTTGTTTGTTGGTTTGTTTGTTTGAGACAGGGTCTAGGGTCTTGCCAGGTAGCCCAGGCTGGCCTTGTAGTCACAGTGCTCAGTGCTGGGATTCTAGGTGTGTGGCACCATGCCTGGCCTCTGCTTAACTTTTGCAGCAATCTCTATCTTCACCAATGCATCAGGAGGTTGTGTACTGTGTTTAAAGTACTTTGTTCGAGGGGCTGGGGATTTAGCTCAGTGGCACCTGCCTTGTAAGCAGGCAGTCATGAGTTCGATCCCCGGTACCAATAAAAAGGAAAAAGACAAAAAAAAAAAGTACTTTGTTCGAAGCTGGAGTGGAACTCAGTGGTCAGCATGCATGAGGCCCTAGGTTCAGTCCTCAGTACCAAAACAAACAGCAAGAACAAAAAACAGCTTTAAGATTCCCAGCTGCCTCCAAGTGTGTAAATTCTTGCCCAGAGCATTTGGCTTCAATACGAATTTCCTCTCCCTGTGCTGTGCTTAAGCGAGCACACTCCAGTTTTGATATTTGGGGTACTAGGAATCGAACTCAGAACCTCGCACTTTGCCAGGCAGGAGCCGTACCCCTGAGCTGCATCCCCGGCCCAATTTCATGTGAAATGTGTACAGACTTGGTGCCTGGTTGGTAAAAGGACACTCAGAACTCAAAACAAGGTGAACATGGCTGAGTTGGTCCCGACCCTTAAACTCCCCTCTGGGTGCCATAGGCAAATATTTGTGACTCTTTGTGTGGTGTGTTGGTCACTTCTCATCTCTGGGTCAGAAAACGTGACACAATTTAAGAGAGGTTTATTGTGGCCAGTTTCAAGAGTCTCAAAAGCCCAGTGTGATGGTGCACACATTTGGTGCCAGCATTTGGGAGGCTGAGGCAGGAGAATCATTGCGAGTTCAAGGCCAGCCTGGGCTACAAAGTGAGTTCAAGGCTAGCCTGAATTGCATAGTGAGACCTTGTTTCTAAAAGACAGAAAAAAAGGTTTCAAGTCTGTGGTCAGGGACTCCCATTGCTTTTAGGCCTATGGCATGATTGAAATCACTGCTTAATTCCCAGCACCCAGGACAGAAAGAGAGCCAAAAAGATGAAATCCTCGTTACAGTGCAGTTAAATAGCGTGTAGTCCCAGCACTCTGGAGCAGAGGCAGTTCAAGGTCATATGGGCCAACTGGTGAGTTTAAATGAATGAAAAAAGCTGTGGCCTTCAAGAGGTCCCTGTGACCACTTCCTCCCCTGGCCCTGCCTCCTGTTCAGCTTCGTAATAAAGCTAGGAAAACTGACTGCTGGAGTACCTAACCTGCTGGGAGGCAAAAAGTCGGGAAGGACTTCCTGAACAGAAGCCTGGTTACATATGAAATAGTACCAAACAAGCAGGATCATATCAAATTAGAAAGCTGCTGCAGAGCAAAAACCTGCAGGATGGGAGAAAAGGCTTTCCTGGCTATTCCTCAGAGGGCTTGACATCTAGGATAGCCAAAGAGCTGAGAGAGAGAGAGAGAGAGAGAGAGAGAGAGAGAGAGAGAGACTCCCTAAAATAAGAGACAATCAAAAACTGGTCAGTGGAAGTGAGTATTTCACAGATGGACAAATGGCCAACAAATACATGAAGAAATGTTCAACACTGCTGGCTATTAGAGAAATGCAATTAAAACAATGCCGAGATTCTGTCTTACCCCAGAAAGAATAGCCATTATTAAGATGTGAAACAATAGCAAGTGCCAGCAAAAGCTCTAGAGAAAAAGGGACCTTTCTAGCTGGGTGTGGTCGCTCCTGTAAGCCAGATCTCAGAAGGCTGATGCAGGAGGATCACGAGGCCAGTGTAAACTACACAGGGAGGCCTTGTCTCCAAACAAGGGAGGAACCCTTCTACACTTTTGGTGGGGATGTAAACTAGTGTAATCACTGAATCCTTAAAAACTTGAAAGTAGGGATTGCGTTTGATCTGGCAATTTCCCTTCTAGGTTTCTTCCTGAAAAAGTTACAGGCAGTGGGCTGGGGCGTTAGCTCAGCGGCATAAGCGCCTGCTTTGCAAGTGTGTGATTGTTAGTTTGATCCCTGATACCAATAAAAATGAAAAAGACAAAAAGTTACAGGCAGTGTATTGCAGTGACACATGCATGCGTATGTTTATAGCAACACAATTCATAATGGCTAAACTGTGGAAGCTGCCTATCTGTCCACAACTGATGAATGAATAAGGAAAATATGATAACAGTGGACCACTCTGCCACAGAGGTGAATGAGTCTTGCAGAAGAATGGACCTTGAGACCACAGTGTGGAGTGAAATAAATCAGACACACAAGCTTCAGTATCCCAAGGTTTCTCTTCTGCGGCAAACCCAACATATAAATAAAGAACAAAATAAAAGGTAGATAGTGGGCGACAGATGTGGTGGGGCAAGCCTGTAATTACAGGACTTCAGTGGCTAAGGCAGGAGGATCCCTGAGAGTTCAGGGCTCCCCTGGGCTCCATGGTGAGTTCAAGGCTGGTCAGAATCACATGGCAAGATCCTGTCTCCAAAAAACAAAACAAAATGACTGATTAAGGGAAGTAAATCTTTCTCAAAGGGGAGGGAGGAAGAGGGAAGGAAAGAGGATAAAACGGAGTGAGACCATGTTATCTGCTTGTAGCAACTCCAAACATAGGATTTAGATTTCACATACTACAAACAGGATAGCGCTCCTAAGGTGGGGCTACTGGGAGTGACTAGGTCCTGGATGCGTGGTACCAGGGAGACCCCTGGTCAGTTTAGGGCAGTTCTGGGTGCGGACAGTAGAGTCAGCGGAGAGGGAAGGCCCACCCTGCCTGCTGGGTGGCCCCAGCCCTTAGGCTTGTAGCCTGGGTGGGGTGCAAGGGAGAGAAGGAAACCTCACTTGTCTCAAGGATCACGGGCTGCAGCCCTCTGCTGGGCCACTCTGCCTGAAACACTACAGACTGAGCGAAATCAAACCTTTACTCCTCTGGCTTGTGGGTGTCAGGTATTTCCTCCCAACAATAAGAAAGTAAGACATGTACTAAAAAAATTAAAAAAGCAGTTGCTTTTAGTGGTGTTTAGCATTTTCAATAAATAACTGTAGTGAAACAACGTTTAAATTGGCAGGAGGCTCACTTGAGCCCAGGCATTTGAAATCAGCCTGGACACTGTGGTGAGACACACACCTCCTTCCCACTACTTAAAGAGACAGTGATGA